GTCCACTGCCTCCACTGCCTGCTGAGTGACTGACCTCTCTGAGCTACTGTGACGAGGGTGCCGGCTCTGACCAGCCACAGTGATAGCCTGACCCCTGAAAAGGGCTCTGTGAGGGGAGGCCTCTGTTCTCCAGTGCGCTCACAGGCCCTGGAGTCCCCGCAGAGGTGTCTGACCTGCAAGCCCCCTGCTGCTGACAGGGATCCTCTGATGATCTGGTCTTCCTCGCTCCTCTGGGGCCTTGAGCATAGAGTCTGCCGGCTGGCCCCCCACCATCCCCTCTTCCCTTGGGACAGCTAGGTTTGGCTGAGCTCCCCCTTAGCTGCACAGCTGAGGTGCACTGGGTCCCCGCTGCTCAAGTGGATGGGACCCCTAAACCACGATGGGCCCTGGGAGGGTGCCGCAGAGGAGGGCTGGGCCCTGACTGAGAAAGTCAGTGCTAGCCTGGGGGCTCTGGCAAAGCATCCAGGGTGGAATGACACCTCAGCAGAGAGGTGAGAGATGGGCCAGAGGAGGTGAGGAGGAGAGCGGGAGCAAAGGCCTAGTGGCCAGGAAAGCAAAGTCCACTCGCACCCACTGGCAGGCCAGTGTGACATGGGGACACAGCATGGGGTGGCGGGGCAGGGGAGGCTGACAGGGTGCTGGGCTGGACACTGTCCTGAGAGCAGTGAGGAGCCAGGGAGGGCCGGAAGCAGGGAGGTGGTGTGGTGCCATCTGCCCAGGACACAGGACAAACCAACAGGGAGACCCTCGAGGTGGCTATGCTGTGGCCAAGGCAGGGGAGTACAGATGGCAGGGTGACTGCTCCTGACCTGCCCCTGCCATCGACGCCAGCCCACTCACCCACCCAACCCCGGGCCACTGGTTCTGCCAAGCCCCTGGCCCAGGCTGAAGGTTCTCGATTGCTGGTGAACTTCACAGCCCTCAAGGCCGGCCTCAAGCCACTGGCTCCATGAAGTCCTCCTGGCTGCCCTCCCTGCTGGCAGCCCGCATTCTCGACCTTCTCCCGGTGCCCCGTGCTATGGGTCCTTGCCGCCAACACTGGAGCAGCACACCTGGGAGGGCCAGGAGGGCTCGCCTAGTGAAAGGGGTC